GGCATCGGGTGGGTGGCTCTGTGCCGTGCCAGGTGCAGGGTCTGCTAGCTGGGTGCTGGCAGGCTTGCACCTGGCACGGGCACCGTAGCCAGCCCGTGCCCCTTTAAGGGGTCCGGGGCCGGGAGGGGGGCATAGAGTTTCCCTGGTGTTGGCCAGAGTGGCCACCAGGGAAACCTGGGAAGCCTTAGCCTCCCACTAGTTCGAACTAAAGGGCTACACAGCCCTTAGTTCGAACTAGCTAGTTCGAACTAGGCGTTAGTCCTCGTAAAATGAGGTTTACCTAGTTCGAACTAAGCGCTCCGCTAGTTCGATTCAAATTCGAACTAGCGGAGCGCTAGTGTAGCGCATAGGAAAGTTAGTTCGAACTAACATCCGTTAGTTCGAACTAACTTTCTAGTGTAGACATACCCTTACATAGGAAAAAGGGGCTGTGTTATTCGATCTCCATGGTCCTGCTTTTCATAAGGAATAAGGGTTTTCCTGAACTTGTATGTCTGAAATAACATTAATGTGCCTGCTCAAGTGCAGCTAATAATAACTAATTGATCCCCAGGGCCCCTCCCACAGCTCCCCAGGGAAAGCCCTGGGGCTCTGAGACTGTGTCCAGACTCAGGGGTTTTTTCGAAAAAAGTAGCCTTTTTTCGAAAAAACTTCACCTGCGTCTAGACTGCAGCCGCGTTCTTTCGAAATTAAATCGAAAGAATGCGGCTTTTCTTTCGACGGTGGTAAACCTAATTCCACGAGGAAGAACGCCTTCTTTCGAAAGTGCTCTTTCGAAAGAAGGCGTTCTTGAAAGCAAACAGGCTTTTTAGAAAGAGAGCATCCAGACTCACTGGGTGCTTTCTTTCGAAAAAGCGGCTTGCTTTTTCGAAATTCCGCGTGCAGTCTAGACGCTCTCTTTCGAAAGAGTCTTGCAGTCTAGACATAGCCTGAGTGTGAGGTAGCACTTCCCCATCAACAGAGTCTGCCTCGAATTACAATCCATTTTTGCCCGTTTTGGGGGGACAGAAATTTGAAGTTGTGAAATTGGGTGCCCAGAAGTCGAAATTAGTATATTTGAAATACTCAACTAGTGTAGACATGGTCCTACAAAATTACAGCCTCGCTGCAGGGGATGCATGGGGGATATCAAAACATTGTGGGCCAAAGTTTCTGATGAGATCGTCATCAGGTTTGGGTACCCAGTTCCAAAAACCGGGGCACATTTTCTAACGTGTCAGCATGAAGCAGCAGGCAAAGGGGACCTGACAAGAATCCGAAAGGGGCTCAGAACTCAACAAGCAGAGATTCACTGAATCCCAGGAGACTGAATTGAAGGTTCCAAGGATCTCCTCTCGGTATCTTGGAGGGATGGCTGGTGCCCAGTTTGAGGGGCGGGAAGGACCGTTTTCTCATCTCTCAGAGGAGTTGTGAGGTGTTTGGCGGGTGTCACTGATTGTCGGCTAGGCAGGTCTGAAGAAGCATTGAACTCGAGGATCCCCAACCAGAGATGTGCGATAAAACAGACATGCTCCCTCAATACTTGTCCAATACAGCACTGCAATGTCTCCTCTCCACACGGATTTGCAGAATGCTAGCAAGGGCTCAGCTCTCTGATGCACAAGGGATCTGGCAGCACAAGGGATCCTCCACCCATGGAAGTTTGCATGTAACAGTCTAGCTGCATGTGGGACTGTCGGAGCCCGTGACTGAGGAGTAATTCATAACACTCACCATTTGCTTTTTGGAGTTGCTCTGGGAAGAATCACAGAGAAAAGAGAAAGAGAAAAATAATGAATGGCCGTCTATGTTTTAGACAGTTGTAGAGCGAGATTGTTACAAACGTTGACAATGACTATTGGCCATTGAGAAGGAAAGAGCCTTTGCCAGATCTTGTCATTCTAAGGAGCTGGTCACATGCCCATTTTTCTCCCCAGAAGGCTAGGAGAGAGATTAGGTCCCCAACATATTGAACAATTTCAGCAGAAACTTTTACAGTCATGTGCAAGTGGAAAAGAAGTCCACAGGGCACAAATCTAACCCTCCTAAGATGGGTGTCAGCAAATGGGCTGTGTCCATAAAAGCTCATGATACCACCTACATGTTTTGTTAGTCTATAAAGTGCTACCAGACCATTTGTTGTTTTTTAGAAATTGAAAGAGTCTTGCTATTATTTACTGAATGAATTGTACGCTATAGTCACTCACAATGCTCAGTCCTTTTGATTTGTACATTTTCTTTACTGTGATATCCGGTTGCTTGAGAATTACATGGCGTAGAGGATAATTTGGGTTGTTCACTTCAAAATGCCAGAATATAAACCAAAACTACAAACATAATTGGCAAAGAAGCTAGTATGATGTTTCATGGTCCTCTGCTTTCATGGTGTCTTTGGAAGTTTAAAAGAATAGCTGGGGACGTAAATGAGCACCAGCTCTCAGATGTACCTCAAGTGTGTCAATGCTATTCACAATGCAAACCAGGGAAACTGCTTCATCAATAGTGGGAAGAATGAGCGAGGTTTAAAGATTAATCAATCCTTTTTTTTTCATTCCCCAAGGCTCTGTCTACAGTGCAGGCTACTTGCATAAGAACTTTTGTGGAAAAGCACAAGAGCGCCCATTACATTTTTAAATCACTCGATTACTTGTGCTTTTTTAAAATCTCTTGACAGCCCTACTTGAGACCATTGCTCCTCGTTCTGACTTCTGTCACCACTGAGAACACTCCCTCTCCATCCTCTTTGGGACCCCTCTTCTGGCATTTAAAGATACTATCATTTCCCCCTCATTCTTCTCTTCTGTAGACTAAATAAGTCCAATTCCATCATCCTTTCCTCATAGGCCATGTGCTCCAGCCCCCTAATCATTTTTATTGCCCTTTGCTGGACTTTCTTTAATGAGTCCACGTCCTTTCTGTAATGTGGGCCCAAAACTGGACAAAATACTCCAGAAAAACATCAGATGGTAGGGTACGGTTATAAAATCTGGCCATGAAACAGATAGAGACTGAGCACACAATCTAGATAAATGTTCAGTAAAGTCAGAATTTATATTTACTTATTATTTCCAGGAGTTTAAAATTACTTGTTCCTCTGAAGCAAAACAGAAAAATTCATATTGAATTTCCTGTACACATTTTTACATCAATAAAAATATTTGGGTCCCTAAAACTATGATTTTTTCCCCACTTTGGATAATTTCAGTATAAATGTACCTTCGTTTTGAAAGTAAAAAAACAAACAAAGTTATAATACTTTCCTGCTTGCTTGCTTTCAATCCCCCAGATTTTGTTTCTTTGTTTGTTCATTTGTTCTCAAAACATCTATGTCCTCATGGAAACATTTTGAAAAGCCCTCAGTCTGGTAGTAAATTCACTGGACCGCTAGGGAGAATTTCTGGGTTCTATTTCCTGCTCTAGCAAATATTTCTGTGTGACTGTTATGACTTCTTTGGGGGCTCTGCACAGGACATGGGTTCTCAGTGTGGGAGCAGCTCTTTGGAAAAGAATGTTTGAGACCCATTGCTGTATCCTGGTCTGGACAGAGTCTCTGCATGGGCTTTGCCCAGCTGCACTCCTCAGAACCTAAAACTTCTACACCCATATCTATCCCCCATCAGCACCCCAATCTACCCCCGGTGGTAAGAAGGAACGAAATGGGGAAGGATTGACAGAGAACTATATACAGCACAATAACAATGCCACTCCATGGTGTTCCACAGCTGACTGATGAGTACCGCTAGGGATGAAGACTTAAGATGACAGCCAACGTGGTAGTGTTATGGAACGATAAGCCCTCTGGATAATATCTGAGTGAGCCACGTACATCTCCATATGGGTATGAGCAATCACTCAGAGAAGAATCCCCCCTGAAGATACTTTAGTAAATCCGAGAGTAGATTAACACTTACAGACGTTTGCACGGTGCAGTGTGGAGCTAGTTGCTAAACATTTCCCTGATAAACTCAGCAACTAAAGCACAATCTGGCTTAGCAGTCTCACCTGCCAATCTGGACCAACCTGACTATGAAAATACCCTGACTCTCCTCAGTCCCAGTTACAACACTCACTCACTCACTCCTGCAAAAGCAGGATGCAGCCCTCTCAGGCTATGTCTAGGTTGCAGTGAAAAATTGGGAAAAGACATGCAAAGATACGTATCTCGGAAAAGCTCGGCACTATAGACGTAGACTCAGGCATTAAAGAAATCCTGCCTTCTCTATATCCCTCAAGGGGGAAATGACAGACCCTTCTACCTCCAAAGTGCAGAAGCTGCCACCAACTTACCCTTCTCTTCCTTGAGTTGGGCTGCAAAAGAACAAAACAAATAACAATTTTCATTATATGAAATTTATTGTTATCAAATTCATGGCCAAACTCTGATCCCAGTGCAGGCAATGGAAGTCTAGTCACATAATTCTTTGACGGAAGTAGTTTTGGATTCAGGAATGTGCTTTTCTTTTTCTGAAATACTTACTCTGCCCCAATATGATTGGATAACTCCATGTAAGCTTTAAAATGTCTCTTTCGATTTCTTATGTTAAAATAAAAAGAGGGGTTCCAAATCATCAAAGGAAAGGAAAAGTTATTTCTAAATTAAGAATGAGAATATTCATCGTTTATTAGTGACAAAATTCACCCGTTCTTATGGGAAATTTCTGCTAACATCACAAATGTTGAACGTTAATGCAGAGACCTTGAAATGTACTCCACATGCAGTGGGAAGCAAGCATTAACTTTGTTCCTATTAATGTGTAATGCAGATTTGAACCCTCAAATCTAAGTTTACAGATTGAATTAATTCCGTATGCAGCACATTGATTTCAATTGAATTAAATAAACAGAAAATGATTCCTAACTGATCATTTGGAGTCTGATGAGGTGTAATGGTATTTACATATATACGATACATATTATACGTTATGGAAAGAAAACCAGGGTGCTAATGCTTACACAAACTCACCATTTTCTCTCTGCAGTTGCTCTGCAAAAGAAAGAATATAATCAGTCACCATTTCCAGTTTTGGTGTTTAGAATGGGGGGAGGGACACTTAAACTACTAACAGTATGAATAGCATGACGTGGCTATATTCCAGATGGCACATATTCAGTGGGTATTGATCCAACTGAGTATTTGGTCACAGATTACCACCCATCTTAAGTACAAGCGGAACCTCTGTAAATCTGTACTCTTTTTCTGGGTAATGTCCCTGAGGGGTGGTACACCTAGATTGTATACCCAGGTGAGAGGCAGTGTATAAACTTTTCTTCATAACAATCAGCTTTAATCAGAGATCTCTG